GATCTACAAGGTGATAGGCACCATTTTAAGTGTTGAGTTATTCAGTAGAAATAGTGTCTCATAACATGGAGCTCTCATTCTAATAAATGCAATCATAAATAAATAGTAATAAAATAAATACTGAAAAGTAAGTAGATAAGAAATTATTGGAAATAGTGAGACTGACTGAGTGGCCATGTAGGACGAGTGGTTAGAAAAGACCAAACAAAAGAGTGATGCTGTGGCCTGCGTCTTGCATGATAAAAAAGAACAAGTTAGGCACATCTTTTGACCATGAGAATATTGTTCACTCAAGACATTCTCTAACGTATTATCCAACTTGTTTAGATTTGAATATTTTAGACAAATATGTTATGGGCTTATCCATTAAATATTAGTAGTAGTATATAGTAAACTCATTCTCATTATTGATAGTAGTGATCTATAGCTGTTATTTATTCTTTAATTATGCTAACATTCATGAAGCATCAGTGAACATTAACTTAACATTTGTTGCCAGTCATCCGAGGGAAGCGGCAGGGCTGCTGGGAATCCCAGGTCACCGCTGACTTCCTATGTTTGCCACATTCTCTTCCAGGAGACTCCCGTGACGTGGATACATTGTTGAAACATTACATTGTCATCACTAAAGTGATGATAATAACAGTATTTATTTTGTAGTCTTTTGAAGATGATATGAAATGCTGTTTATAACCTAACCCAGTACCTGGTATATACATTCTAAGAAGCCCAGTAGATTCCTGGAACCATGTTAATACCGAATGTACTGTACTGTATATACTACATTTTTCCTATGCATACACACCTATGATAAAGATTATATTATAATTTAGGCACATTAAGAGAATAATAAAATAGGAGAATAACTAATAATAAAGTAGGACAATTAGACCAATATACTGTAATAAAAGTTACGTGATCTCTCTCACTTGCTCTCAGGATATCTTATTGTTCTGTACACATGCTTCTTCTTGTGATGATGTGAGAGAATCAAGTACCTTCTTAAGCCAAGAACTTTTACTTTTTCACTTAAAGAAAGCATTTTGCAGCTTCTCTTTGGTTTATCTGAATTTCCAGCATCACTACTCTTGCACTTTGGAGCCTTTGTAAGTAAAATAAGGGTTACTTGAACGCAATCACTGTGATACTGCCACAGTTGATTTGATAATGGAGATCGCTACTAAGGGACCACCAGGCAGGGAGCGCACACAGTGTGGAGGTGCTGAACGAAGGGAGGATTCATGTCCCGGTGGGACAGAGCAAGATGACACAATTTTGTCACCTTGTGTAGAAACAGCACAACATTTAAAATTTATGAATTGTTTATTTCTGGAAACTTTCATTTAATAATTTCAAACTGAATTGACTATGGGTAACTGAAACTGCAGAAAATGAAATGGTAGATAATGGGGTCTACTGTAACAATGGTTTTATTTTAACTAAAATGATTTAAGAGGGTGGGGTTAGGCCACCACTGTTTTTACAGTATGAGAGGTACATTGATAAAGGCACACAGTGCAATAAAAGCATACAGAGAAGCCCGTCCCCATTAACAAAAGGGTCAATAATGAATTCAAAAAATGGATTTCAGATATGAACGCATGGGAATGCTGTCCACACCACTCACGCGGTGGTGTTCGGAGGCTCGTTGGAAAGCAGAAGTCACTCATCAAAGTAAATCATGAGGCCTGTGCAGGGACTGCTTCTACCGAGATTAATCACACATCCTGTTTGAAATTACCGGTCACTAAATATGGGGGGAATTATAAGATACAAACACAATACATGTGATTCTCTATAATGTTTCCTTCTGGGCCAAAAAATTTATAAATTGCATGACTTTCTAAGCACAAGGAATTAATGTGGGGCAACTATACCTAATCCATGCTATTACCCAGACTAAAGTCTTTATTTGCATCACTTTTAGATCAAGTTAAAGCAATGTATTGAAAGATCTGACTTTCAAGAAGAGGAATCCAGGAATATATCTGCATTTAGTGTTTTAAAGAAAAAGTTTCTCTTATCCTTTGGAGTAAATAATAGTATAAAAATCCAAATGGAAGCCTATTGAACACCTTCTTGAATCAAATAAGTTATCCAGAGAATGAGAGATTGTGTCTATCCCGTAGGAAAAAAATAAAGCACTATGAATTATTTTTTCACCATAACTTCTATGCAGAGTTCATTAAAATTGCCTACATCAAGTAAAATCATTGTTCTATCCTTAGTATTAATCCACAATTAATAGAAACATTTCTACTGTGTTAAATGAATGCTGACTTATAGCTTTAAATTTGAAACCAATTCTAGACATGGCCAAGGATGTTCCAAGGTTCTAATCAAGTGAGTCCTGAAGCTGATCCTGTCCCGGTACTCTTCTGTTTTGATATTCTACTCCCCCCATTGCTGTGTGGCTATCTTACAACGTAGTTTCGAAGCATTGTGTTCTTATTGCAACATCTGTATTACATGAATAATTTATCTGAGAGTATGAATGTCCCAAGAATAAAGCTCCACTTTCAAACTGAATACTACTAATAGCTGCTCCACAAATCATTTATTTGTTTGTCTCTTACAAGAAATTCTTTATCTTATGCATTCTTGGGCCATTTGATTAATTATGTACACATTTTTTTATGTGATGAATGCCTACTATGTTCTATTGACCATAACACCATGACTTTCCTGTCTGGTCTGACATCCCATTCTTGTACCTACTTTGAGGCTCATACCTATTATCATTAGAATAAGTGTCCCAAGGGTTGTATCTAGGAGGCACAATGATCTTTTGGCATTGGGGAAAGACTTGAAAACTGCCCACAATCGAGTCTCATAATTATAAAAACATATTATTTGATTTAGACCACACTGATTGTATTTGGATTCTCATTTTCATATGAAGGGACTATTTAAATCAGTTTCACATTCTCTCAGTGCTATTCTGGTTCTTTTTAATTTCAGCTACTGAGTTGATAGGGCTCAAAGGAAAACAAAATGAATTTATCCATCACTGAACACAATTAATTGTGTATTAGCCTCTTTAGGAATGAAGTTAGATAAAATTACTTAATCACAATTTTTCAGGGAAAAAATATAAATAATTAAGCACTCTGACTATGACTCTGATAAGAAAAAGCAAAATTCAGCACATTCAAGCAAATGCCTATCAGTTAAGGAAATTACTTGCAGGGAATATTCTGTTATTATTATAATTGATTTTGTCCCATATAGTAACACCTTCAGGTTGAGCCTTCTGGCTGAGGCTACTATTTTTTTTTATTATTATTATAGAACTCTATATAATAAGAGTGGAAGTCAAGGTTAGAGAAATAGTTACAATAGCTCCATTATTTATTAATATCTCTATTTTTCTTTCTTCACATCTCAGATAACTTAAAAGTGACTATGAAGTCCTGCATTATAATCAAATCACTAAAACTGGAGCAGTTTTTTCACCTGAACCTACTGCAAAATATGTTGGACACAACCATGAGAATTAAGGAATTACTTGTGCAAAGAATTGTCAAGGGCACCCATTTTTATTTCTTTTGTTATTGCTTTTGTTGTTGTTTTGTTTTGCTTTTGGGATTTTTTGTACAGTCGCTTCATACTTGAGGCTCAAAGACCCATATTCTGGAGAGACAGATATCTGTTCGTGATGTGGAGAAAGATATTTCCTGTTTGATAGAGTATTGGCTTCAAATATCAAGTATATTTGTTTCAAGTATACTTAAAACTTTGCTGATTCTTAGGCAGTGAAACACCAAACCAAAAGAACCTTAGTCATTCATTAATTGATACAAATAGCCATTCTCTTATTTTTAACAAACATCTTAGTTCTCTTTATTTTAAAAACAATTTCTTAATGATTTTTATTACTCAAATTTTAAATGTTGGCATTACGCAGAAAAACTGTGTCTCTACTCATGTTTTTGTTTATTTGTTTTCACTTTTTCTATTAGAATATATCTGGTTATTGGTTTATGGATTATCTTTGGTTAATAAATTCTATTCTATCCTCTGAACTCCATACCTACAAGTCTATATTCATAACAGTTTTATTTCAGAAGCACCTGAAATAATTCCCATCAGAATTATTGATTTACATTATTGAAACCTACTTATTTCCCTTTTAATTCCATTAAATCACATCATTTTCAAACAGAATCCTGGATATTTACCTAAATTCAGTCCTGTCCCTACACATAATAACCCAGTTCTAGAGTAAATTCTATTAAAGTAGCCTTTAAGATGTATCATAATTTCACCTACTATTCTCGATCTCAACTCTTACTGCAAACATCTCTCACTAGGACAATGGCAGTCTTTTTCTAACAGAAATCCCTGCTTTCTACTTTGGTTTGCTATTATTCTTTTTGTATAAAAATTACCTGGAACTTTTAGAAATGTAAATCACAAACTATTTCCCAGTTTATAACTACAGATAGGGCTTCTGGAATGGTGTTGTGAGGTCTCTGGGGGAAACATTTATAAGCTGGTCAAAGTTAGGCAAAGTACTCATTCAAGTCATTCAAGTATCTTGAAGGAGCAGCTAGCTACTCTCTGTCAGAATCCTAGCTGCCTTTTAGGCAGAAATTGACAAGCTTTCTCTAAAATTCATCTGGAAATGCAAGAACCCAGAATACCCTAAACAAACTTAAAAACAAAAACAAAAACCGAAGTTGGACATACACTTCTAGATTTCAAGATTTATAAAAAGCCACAGCAATCAAGACGATAAGGTAATGGCATAAAGGTAGACATATATATCAATAGATACGTATAGATAGTCCAGAAATAAACCATTAATTTTGAGGCCAACTGGTTTTCACCAAGAGTATCAAGACAATTAATTGGGGAAAAAAATAGCCTTTTCAAAAAATGATGCCTACCACTGAATATCCACAAAAGAATGAAGTTGGACCCCTCTGTTTATCATTCCATAGGAAAAAAATTAACTTACAGACCTCATTGCAAATGCTAAAACTAAAACCATTTAGATACTTACCTGGCAGGGAGCTTCCAGGATCACAGAGGTGGTTCTCCCAGTGTGAGGCGTATCTGTTTCACTCTGGATGCCCTGACCCCTGTGATTGTCCCAAATGTGGGAAATTTGACTGCACACATGGTGGCGGGGACTGCGTGTGCCCTCTCCCCTGGCTTTGTCATGTAAGAGGCAGACTTCTCACCCATCACAAACAACACAAATTTTAGAAGAAAAACATAGGAGAAAACTTTCATGACCTTGGGTTAGACGATTGTTTTTAATATAAGATACCAAAATCACAAGTGACAAAAGAAAAAGCCAATAATTTAGACCTTTTAAATTTAAAATTGTGTGTGCTTCAAAGAACACCATCAGGAAAGTGAGAAATAAACACCCACAGAATGGAAAAACAACACAGGAAAGTCATATATTTACAGAGAATATGTGTCCAGAATATGTAAAGATTTCTCACAACTAAATAATATAAGATCAATAACAACATTATTAAATGGGAAAAGGATTATAGTAAACATTTCTCCAAAAAGTTATATAAATTATCAAGAAGCACATAAAAAGATGTATTAAGCACAGAGCTCAAGACTATTCATCATTACGAATATGAAAATCAAAGCCACAATGAGATAATGCATTATATGCACTAAGATGGCTATAATTAAAACACAGACAATAAGAAGTGCTAACAAGGATGCCATATTGTTCCTAATAGATCCAAAGCAGACAAATTCAAATGTCTAACAACTGCTGAGTACATAACAAAATGTGGAATATACAATGAAATATTATTTTGCAATTAAAAGGACAGAAATACATAACATGTAATATAACATGGGAACTTTGAAAATAAAGAGAAAGCAGCCAGTCACAAAAGAGAATATATTGTATAATCATTTTTAAATAAAATATCCAAGGCAAGAAAATTTATAGACACCAACATTAAGGTTAGTAGGTTAGTGGTAGTCTAGGACTCAGGGGATTTTCTGTGGGAAGAATGACTGCTAATCTATAGAAGATTTATTTTTGGAGTAATAAAGATGTTTTTAAATTCGATTATTCTTATACAAAATAAAGACAATTAAATTGTGCTTTTTTAAGTGAGACTATTTTGTGCTGTGTGAATTGAATCACGATAAAGCTACTTTATATAAAATTTAAAATATATATAAGAACAAGAAAAGCATTAATTGGTTACCAGCACAATAAAATAAATCCAAATTCTAACTTCCTTCCAAAATTTATACAGGATCCTTTGGGCTCTGTCCCTACTTGCTTCTTTTCACTTCTAGCTACCTACCTATCACTCATTTTCTCTAGCCACACTGGACTCTGTTCATCTCTGAAAGTGTCCCAACATTTGTGTATTTTTCCATATTACTACCATGGTACACAGTCTTTTGTTCTCTGTTCTTAAATATCTTAACTCTGTATTTATTACTGTTTCTTTGGCATTGTTCAAATCCCAGCACACATTTATCAACTCAGACAGGTTTTCTCTCACCATCCCATCACAATCCATTCCTTCTGACCCGAGCTATCACAACCTTTTCTTCATTAGACTTCAGAGGACTATTTAACGTTTTAATCTGTTTGCTGGCTTTTTCCCACTACCTTGAGGGCATGATGGGTATAATGACTCTGATCTTCACTCACCCTGGTCTCCAGTGTCTAGTATTATACCTGACATGAAATAGACTCCGTTGTGAACTTTTAAATAAATAAAAAGAATACAGTATATACTACATTAGCTGTGCCCACCTAGCACCTAAACTCTAATAGTGAAAAAGAAAATGCTGGAATAAGTATCAGAACAAATAGTGATTCTGCTGTCAGCAGTGACTGGATTAATACCTTTGGAAAAGGTTTTTTAAGTCCCACGTCCTTTTTCTCCCTTCCCAAACAATGGTCCTGGTACAATACAAGATGGATTCACCTACAATACAAGATGGATTGAAAATTTCAAAAAAATTAAAACAACTATGAGGTATCACCTCACACCTGTCAGAATGGCTGCCATCAACAAATCAAACATCAAGTGCTAGTGAGGGTGTGGAGAAAAGGGGACTCTAGTACACTGCTGGTGGGAATGCAGACTGGTGCAGCCACTATGGAAAACACTATGGTGTTACCTCAAAAAGTTAAAAATTGAACTTCCACTTCTAGGAATATACCCTAAGAAGCTGAAACACCAATCAAAAAGAATATATGTGCCCCTATGTTTATAGCAGCACTATTTACAATAGCTAAGATCTGGAAACAGCCCAAATGTCCATCAGTAGATGAGTGGATTAAAAGCTGTGGTACATGTACATAATGGAATACTATGCAGCTGTAAGAAAGAAAGATCTTTTATCCTTATCCTTTGAGATGGCATGGAGGGACCTGGAGAGTATTATGCTAAGCAAAACAAGCCAAACAGAGAAAGACAAATATCACATGATCTCACTTATTTGTGGAATATAATGAACTAAACAAACTAATGAACAAAATTGACCCAGAAACATAGAGGTGGGATACGGACTGACAAGCCTCAGGGGCGGGGGTTGGGGGGAAGAGATAAACCACAGAACTTATATGCATGTACGCATGACCAGTGGACATAGACAACAAACCTGGGAATGGGGTGGGTGTGGGGGTTTGGGGCGAAGGGTATCAATGGGGGAAAAGGGAGAAACATCTGTAACAAATTACTAAAAAAAATTTTAAATAAGATAAAAGATAGTTCTAGCTTTTATAAATCATAAAATGATGCTCAAATAAGAATGAGAGTGCCACAATATCACAAGGCACTCCAAAACCATCCTAATAATTGCTCTCAATGGGTTTCTTTCCTCTATCAGAAATATCTTTGTCACAGATAACAATCTGAATCTCTCCTATATTACTCTACTTCAAATCTAAGGTTAGCATTTGCTTTGTCATTGATTTTCTTTTAAGAAAACTATTAACTTTCCAATAGATTATTATCTCTCTCCACCTATCTGTTCACCATCAGAATTGTCTTTTGGAAAATTCATGAGTATAGAACAATTTGACTTTAACAGTTATTTTGACCATTCAAGTTTTCTTTCACAATTTTTATAAAGACTTCTTTATTCCTTTAAAGGTATAATTTAAAATGTCTGAATGGAAATGAAACTGACATACTCTTATCACTATTTAGAGTTATACAAAGGATGGTTAACAGAACACTTTCAAATATATTATCATACGTGGTTTTAACAATAATTTTTATTCCAGCTTTACAGTTGATAACACTGAGAACCACAAATGTTAACATTTTTGCCTATGTTCAGAAAGAAAGTAAGTCGAGTGCATAGGACTTAAACCTTAAATTAGCTCGCCAACTACCATTAAAAGATTAAAACAGACTTTGATTTTCCTAGTTTTAGCCCTTGTCTCCTTTCTTTCTTTCTTTCCTTCTTTTCATTTTTTTTCATCTTCCCTTTCTTTTTCTTTTTTTTGTTATCCCACTTCCCTACAATTTTTCTGACATTAGACAGTTTATAGACAATCCATAGTCTTACAAAAGTAGTTCTTAAAATAACTGTTCTGACAGCTGACAAAAGAAGATTGTACCAAAGATTCTAAACAAGAGACATGAAAGACAAATAGTCTTCCATCTGTACCAATCACTACTTTGGTAGCAATTAAAGATAAGGAAAATAGAGAGCTGGGGAAGACTCCTCAAGCACACAGCCTTCTTCATCCTCAACGTACAGAACTCCCTTCCTGCTAGGACCTAGGAGTTACCTGAGTTAAGGTGTTCTCTGCGTGCATCATCTGATTAAAGCCTTCGATCACAATTTGAGTAATTTTACTATTTTTTTTTTTAGATTAACACTTCTTAAAGGCAGAAAATTGATTGCATTTATTGATACATATCACACAGTTTCTCAGACCTAACCAACATCCTTTGTTCAAATGCTTCTCAATAAGATCAGATAGTTTCATAATCATTTCCTAGTTCAGTGAAACCAAGTCATAATTCTATGCCACGTGCATTTTCTAAATATCATTGAAACGAGATGGAACGAATTATTACTTTACATGCTCAATATAGTTTCCATCTTTCTCTAGCTAATATATATTAATATATATATATATATATATATGTATATTGGCATCTGTGTGGTCTTGTTTATCCTTCTTTCACTATTTTTTCTCTCTAAACTAAAAAATATGAAACCTTGACCAGAATTTACACTTGAAAATCAATTATAGTTCTCAGAGTCTCCCTGAACACTTTAAAGGTGGGATATGTATTAAAACTACAACTTCCTCATAAAAGTGTTATTATCATATTACATAATTTATGTAAGATTCCTGAATCAGTTTGTGAAACCTTGGGTTATCAGATAGATTACACAGAATGTGATTTGTATTCATTTTATTTAAAAGCTTCATAAAATAGGATGAGAAACATGAGGTGAGACTATGAGTAAAATGATATTCAAAGAGAAAGAAAAAGAAACAAGTGGATATTTATGCTTTTAACTAACCCTAGTTTTGTATGGTAACATTTAAGACTATTAGCAGACTGAAAGCTTAACCCTGTGAATGTTCTAGTATTTATAATTTATGAACCAGCACAAAATGCAGTCATTTGAAGAATATAGTTGATTCAGTTGGTTCCATAACCATATGGAAGCATTTTTATAATTAAGTATAAATATTCTTAAAGAAAACAGAAAAGTTTTATATTAGAAGGCTTAATCAAAGCAGTGATAAGAAATGATCCTCCAAAAATATCAGATTCTAGATTGTTGTAGAGATCAAAGCATAAAAAAGGTCTTAATAATTATAACAGATGTCTGAAACATACTCAAACACACCCGTAGTCTAATGCCCACATAAAACAAACAGCAATACTGCCCTGGCCGGTTTGGCTCAGCAGTTAGAGCCTCAGCCTGCGGTGCAGAGAGACCTGGGTTCAGTTCCCGCTGAGGGCGTGTGCCTTGGTTGCAGTTTGTCCCCGGCTCTGGATGGGTTGTGCGGGTGGCAGCCACTCGATGTGTCCCTTTCACGTTGATTTTTCTCTCTCTCCCTTCCTCTCTTTCCCTTCCACTCTATCTGAACAACAACAACAAAAACAAACAGCAGTACTAAAAAGCTAAACTTTTTATGTGATTCAAAAAAAAAAAAGTTGTGCTAATG